AAATGGAGGGGTATGACAGAGAATTAGCTTTCATTCCCATTTACCACCTCCTCCATGCAGCCTTCCCTGATCTCTCCACAGGAAGCACATCCTCTGGGAAACTCCCTCACAGGCCAAGAGCTCCTGGAGATCAGGTGCGGGACCTGGGGTCTCCATCACTCCCTCAACAGCACCAGACCCTGTGCCCCATGGAAGCATAGCTGAGTGTGATCATTAAGAGCACAGGACAGAAAAGTCAGACCACGCAGGGTTTAAATCTTCTGTGGAGGGGGGGCTATGAGATCTCAGACAAAAAACTGACCTCTGGGCCTCAGTTTCCTCACCTGTAAAATGGGGGAGAAAAAGAGGATATAAAGCCCTTGGCAAAGGTCCTGGAGCCTAGTAGGTACCTGACTGGTGGGAACTACTGTTGCTTCCCAGAAGATGGTGGTACCCATTGAGTGAACCGCCATCTCAGACCCAGTGGAACTGTCCGTTGCCAGAGAAACAGCTCAGGACGCAGCTTCTCCCAGAAGCAGGCTGAAGGCACTAAAAGGTACAGCTCTTCATAAGTCTGATGGGGGACCCTCATCCTCCATCTGCCCCTCCCCCACAAAAGCACTGCAGCAAAAGCAAAGGAAGGCCACCCCACCCACCCCCAGTCCCTGAGAGTCTGGAGACCTAACTGCCAAGCTCCACCACAGGATCCTGGTGAGTCCTACCTTCTGCCTAGACCTCAGTATCCACATCTTTGCGATGCGACCCAAGTGCTCAGGACTGCGTTGCTGAGACCACCCTCAAATCAGAGACACAAGTCTCCCCCACAGGAAGCTACCAAAGTCCCGGCAGGCACAGCAGGATGCGCCTTATTCCAGTTCCTCTAATTCCAATTCTCATTGTTGAAATGCAAAAGGAGCAGATGCTCAGGTCCTGTCTACCAAGAGCTAATCCTAGGGATCCACCCACCCCCTCATCATCTCAGCCCAGGAGAGATCCCTCTGCTGGTCCAAAATCTCCGGAGGCTGCCAATGGAACACTGTCACCATCGCTCGCCAAGGTACTCAAGGCCCTCAGCTTCTGGCCACCCCAGAAACAAATGCTTCAAGTCCAGTTGCACCAACTGGCTGGCTATTCCCTAAAACTTCCCTTCCACTTTCCCACCCCCGAACCTTGACTCCCACAGCGCCCTGCCCTTTCAACACCCTTTCCCTACCTTGGCTTCAGATTTCAGTCAAGTCCTTGCTCACAAGCCACCTCTCCTCCATGAACCTTCCTGGACTCAGAATTGATCTCCTCTCCTCTGCCTCTTCACACCCCTGGGACCCGGGTTCCCTTCCTGCTCCCTTCACAACCAGGAGCCTGGCACACAGCTCCAGCTCCAGACAGGGTCTTCCCACCTGCATATTTAAATTAGTTCCTGACCTGGCCACCCTCCTCCCCCCCATCTCCAAAACAGCTGTTGGAGAATTAAAAATGTACATTTCTAGGCTGCACTTCCTGACATTCAAATTCCAATTCCACATTTTTTCTGGGGGTGGAGACCAAGAATCTACATTTTAAAGAACTCCCCCACCACCACCACCACACACACACACACACACACACCCCAAGATAATGTGAAGCTGGGGTGGGGGAGGGAGGCTCACAGAGAGAAAATTGGGAAATTCGTCAATAGATGTATATCACTGACCCTGGAGGCAGCCCTCACCTGGGGTGGGGTGAGGGCCGAGGAGGGAGGTTTGGTCTCAAGACGACTCCGCCTTCCAGCTTGAGCCTTGCTGGGACACAGCACTAGAGGGATGGCTCGAAAGGCCCAAAAGGAAAACGGATCCTGACCCACTTCCGAGCTCCTAGTCCTCTGAAAATGGACCGGGCCCTGGGCTAGGGAAAAGCCTCTCACAGGGGCAGCCACCCAGTTTCCTGCCTCGCACCAAAGGGTACTAAGGGAAGAAAGCTGACACCCCCGGGCCTGTAACGAGTTTGTGGAGGGGAAGAGGGGTGTTCCCATTGGTCTACCTCAGCTGGGTCTTCAGAGGATCTGGAAGGCATAGGGTCTCACCTCTAGCTTCCCACAAGTCACTCCCCGCCCAGCGCTGGACGCGGTATCTCAGCCCGCAAGGCCAGCCAAACCGGCTGGAACCCGGCTGGAACCCAGTAGAAGCCAGAAGGGCCCGGCTCCTGCTCGGGGGCCCACAGAGCAGTGCCTAAGTGTACGTGTTGGAACGGATGTGCCCTCTCGATTGACCGGGAGTGTTCTGGGGTGCAGCCACGCGGAGCCGCTGAGAGGGCTAGCCGAGAGTGGACTTTGTCTCAGGCTGGGACCTCTGGAGGGCTGGGCATTGGTCTTGCAAAGACAGAGTAGTACGCAGTGACTGTGGCGCCTGTGAGCGCTTTTGTGAGTGGCCTCTAGGGACTACCGGGGGGGATGATGGTGCGTTGGAATGGGCACTCTGAACATGGGTGTATGGTGCGTGTGGTCGCTGGGACAGCAACGGGGGCTCTAGGTGAGAGGGTTCCAGGGTAATCTCCTAGGGCATCAGTCCTAGGGGCACCCCGGGGTAGGCACGGCGCATCGCGTGTGAGCCTGGGTTGGGGCAGGTACCGGGTGCGACGGAGGGCCTCCCGGGGCCCCCCGATTCCCACAAACCCACCGGGATCCCCTCCCCCGCCCCGCGGCCCCGCGCGTGCTCACCAACTGCAGCAGCATGAGCACACCGAGGCTGGAGCGCACGAAGCCCAGGTCCGGGCGCAGCGCCGAGACCGAGGCGCCGGCGCCCTGCGCTGGGCTGCTGGTCCGCGTGCTCACTTTAGACGGGAACTCGGCCATCGCGGCTCGCCTCCCGACGTCGCACCGGCCGCCGTCGCCACCCCTCCCGCCTTGGGTGCCGGCTCCTGCTCCACTCCTCCTGGGGAGCTCGGGCTCCCGGCGCTGCGCGCTGTGTCCAAGGAGGAAGCCCGGAGCGCCAGGTGCGGCAGAAACCCCGCCCCCGCCTCCACCGCGGGACCCGCCCCTTTAACCCTTCGCTCGCCTCCGCGGGTCCAGCCTCAAGACACCTGTAGCCGCGTCCACTTTACAGATGGGAAACAGGCCACGGTCAGTAAGATGGCTCGGTCAGAACCAGTCTAGATAGCTGCGCGTTTCCGTCCTGAGGAAAGCCTCCAACTAGGAATTTACAACGCTGCTCTGCGCCCTCCTAACTGGAAACTTCTACCGGCTTTCTCAAGGATGTCTCTAGGGTGCTGGGTGCCCTGGGGCTAGCCCCCGCGCCTCTTTGCGCTCTCCTTAAAGCAGAAGAAGCATCCTTGTTTAGCTACTCCTAAGGAGTCCCGGGAGACCGAGCACCCGGGAGGGGGAGTCTGGATAAACTGTAGGTGCACATGACACAATTAATGTGGTTTGCACTTCTAAACATACTGAGCAATAACTTAGAAGATCGCTGAGCCTCTGTTTCCTTGTCTGTCATAAAGGGTATGAAAGGACCTCGCCTCACAGAGCTGTCATGCAAAATAAATAAAGCTCCTGGCACGCAGAGGGTGGGGCAGGCAGTGGGGTCACTCAGAAGGTGGGAGGTGATGTTGGAGTTCCAGTTTCCTTGCTCCACCTGCACCCTGAAATACACACACACACACACACACACACACACACACACACACACACACACACACACCCTCAGGCCATAAAGACTTGAACAAATCATTCCTCTTATTGACCAACCAATGTTTGCTGGGTGCCTACTGACTATATGACTGGTCCTATCCGAGGCCCTGGAGATAAGGTAGGGAACAAGCCTGACAAGGCCTTCCTGGATTTCACTTTCTTGTGTGGTAACAAGTAGTAAACTGGGGTAAAAAAAAACAAAACTTTCTTTTGCTGTGACGATAATAAAGTCCATGAGGTTGTATGACAGTTTGAAGAACAGAAAGAAGATCCTGGTGGCTGGGACAAAGTGAGTGAGGGTGATATGTGACACGTGGCCAGGGACAGGTCACAAAGGGCTATTTAGATGATTGTATTAGTTTCCTGTGACTGCTGGAACAGATTACCGCGAACTTGGTGGCTTAAAAGAACAGAAACATATTCTCTCACAGCGCTAGAGGCAGGACGTCTGAAATCCTTTTACTGAGCCAAAATCAAGGTGTCAGCAGGACCTCTCTCCCTCCAGAGGCTCTAAGGGAGAACCTGTTCCTGGCTCTTTTCAGCTTCTGATGGCAGCTGCTGACATTCCCTGATTTGCAACCTCCATCCCCTCAGTCTCTGCCTCTGTGGTCACACTGCCTCCTCTTCTGTATGTGTCAAATCTCTCTGCCTCTCTCTTGCCAAGACACTTGTGATCGGATTAAGAGCCACCCAGGCAATCCAGGATAATCTCCCCACATCACAAACATTCGTCTGCAAGACCCTTTTTGTTTATAAAGTAAAATTCACAGTTCCTGGGATAAGGGCTGGTATTTTTTGGTGGTTATTCAGCCTACTGAATAATGGAGAGGGTTAACATTTTATTCTAAGGCCCAGAGGGTTTCAAGCAGGAGAATGGCAAGATCTGCTTTGGAAATATCACTGGTTGATGCTGATTTAACCCTTTACCCACTCAACTGGATGGTCAACCAATTCCCCCAGACACACCTGAATTCCCCGCCCCCAGTATCCCCAGTAGGTACTCAGGAAACAAGGAGTGCTTCTCGGTAGCTGCAAAACCATTACCCAGAGACCAGCCCTCTGCCTACTATTTGAGCCCAAGTGCAGAACAGAGCTCTTGGGTAAACCCTTAATTTTATTATGACACAGAAAACAATAAGGCGATTGTTTCTGAGGCAGATTCTAAAACAGTAGAGTAGTTTTGTTTTGGTTTTCATTTGGATTTTGTTTTTTGGTTAATCCCACTTTCATTCCTTTCAAATGGCAGCAAGCAAGACTCAATCACTGTATTGTTTTTTAGACATTTTCTTGGAAACCAACTTCACTCACTCCACCCCCAGTTAGAAAACGTGGGAAGAGACCTGTCCCCAGGCAGGGACCAGCCGCCCACCCAGTCTTTACTGGGGCCATAAGAGCCTTGGGCCCTGGAGGTGGGGTGGAGGGACAGAGAACCAGAATGAAGAGATGAATGGCTACTCATTCTCAGGGCTGGTCCCCTCCTCCTCCGGGTCTGAGCAGGCCATCGCCACGCAGCAGATCACCTGCAACACTTGTCTTGCCTCAGTTCTCACTTCTGCAAAGGCTCCCTACTGTGTGCTGGGCCCCCCCCCCTACTGTGTGCTGGGGTGGGCAGGGCATGCTGGAGAGGCAATGGGGATGCAAGCACAGAGCAGATGTTCAGTGTACCAGGAACTGGGGACAGAGCTGTGGCTATCCAACCAGACCCCACCCTCAGGGAGTCTGATGGGGGAGACAGACAGTCTAAATATACAAAGCCACATATCAAGAGATGCACATTTACCAATTGTGCTAAGTTACTACAGGAAAAGAGTGGGAGGCCATGGGAAAAGAACACTAATTGAGGGTTGGGAGTATCATTTAGATAGCTGAGTCATGGAAAGTCTAAACGTTTAAGTAGAGATCTAAAGGATGAATAAGAATCAGGCAGGAAAAGAGCATTCCAGGCAGAGAAAATCACCATATGTGCAAAAGGCCTGAGGCAAGAAAAATGTGGGGGTCTTTGAGGAAGGACAGAAGATGATGAGTTGAGGGAACTGGGAAGAGATGAGGTTCCAGGGGCAGCCAGGGTCCAGATGACCTGGGGGCTAACCCCTTGGTAATGACATGGATTTTATTATAAAAAGCAGACCACTGGAGGGCAGTTACACCATCTGACTTACAATTTTTAAAAATTCACAAAGAGGTTCCCGGCGGGTTCATCCAACAGTTTCCAGAAGCTCACGTCAAGAGGTCGATGATTATAATCAGCAACACTGATTGAGCCCTTTTCCAACTGGCCCTGTGATCAGTTGCTGTGGGGCTGGTTAGTTTCAGCTTCTTTATTTTTAATTGCACAATTCATTAATTTATTTCATTGCACATCTCCAAACCTTCACCCTCACCTCTAGTTTAGTCACTGAGAAGTGTTTGGAGTATCTTATCAGATCTTTTCTTTTTCACTACCATCTGATATATGGAAATATAGAGACCTGATTTGTATGTTATTTTTTTAAAATTTTACTAAAAAAGTGGGTTATACACTATATATTGAAACTTGATCTTTTCACTTAACATTAATTATGTCTTGGAAATTTCTCTGTGACAGCACATGAAGGCTGGCCTCATTCTTTTTACATGTTGGGTAATATTTGATAGAGTAGTTATTAAATAATTCTTTATCCTTCCTGCCATTGGTGGACACTTACGTGGTTTCCAATAGTTCCTCATTACAAGTAATATTATATAAGAATTCTTGTTTACACACCTTTGCACACACGTGAGACTATGGGTCCAGTTTTCAAGGTAGAACCACTAGATTGAAGGGTGTTTACACTTTTATTTATTTATTTTTTAATAATGCCAAATTGTTCCAACAGGCCATGTTGTTAACACTCGCACTAAGAGTCAGTGAGCTTAACCATTTGCCCTCCCACCTGAGTATGTGTGATGAGCGTTTTTTAAAGGTCTCATTGTTTCCATTTGCATTTTCTAACACTTAGCTAGTGGGGCTTCTTAAACTTACTGGATATTCATACTTCCTTTTTCGTGAATTTAGAATTTGATTTATTCTGTAGTAAAGAATTTAAATGTGCCCAAAGAGAGGTCTGGCTTTTGCTCTCAGCTTCTGGAAGGTAATGTCTAAATCCATGGAATGTCATGCCTGATAGAAATGTCTTTGTTTAGGGTGGGGTCTGGCCACACCACATAGTCTAACATTGTGGTTTAGGGTGGGGACATATGGTATCGGCTCATTTAGCTCCACCTGAAAGAGCTGGAAACTGAGATCAGCTGCTGGGACAGTCAACCATGGCTCCATGATGAGGCCCCAATAAAGCTCTGAACACCAAGGCAATGAGCTTACCTGGCTGGCAATACGCCATGTGTGTTGTCACACATCAGTGCTGGTAAAGTAACACGTGGAGCTCCTGACTCCCTGGGGAGAGGACAACAGAAGCTCCACCTTTGGAATTTAAAACTCAGCCTTTTAAAAATTATACAAGTCCGTGGTTTTTGTTGGGTTGTCGGAAAAGTCATGACGTATTTTTTCTATGTTTTTCGTTACAAAAATGTGTCATGACTTTTCCGACAACCCAATAGTGTATTCACTGCAGTGAACCATTACCACTAATTCCAGAACATTTCCATCACCCGTATGTGCACTTCCCTTGGCTGATTTCAATCTGAATTCTTTAGCTGTAATAAGCTATAACTATGAGTATCCAGTTTGCAGGGCGTTCTGTGAGTCCTTGTGGTTACTGAATTAGCAAACCTGAAGGTGACTTGGGGAATCTCCTGAACTCTGCAGTTGTATCAGAAGTGACAGTAGTTTTGTGGATTATGTGCTCTGTGTAACACTGTAGCCCTGTCTGCTTTTTTAATTTTATGAGCTCCTTTTATACTTCAGATATTCATCTTGTGTCACTTTCATATGTTGCTATTGTTTTCTCCTACTTTATTTCTCCTCCTTTGTGGCATTTTGATAAATGTGTATAGTCATGTCACCACCACCAAAATTAAAATATTGAACATTTCAGCTACCCCAAAAAGTTCCTTTGTGACCTCTACCCTGGCCCCAGGCAACCACTGGTCTGTTTTCTGTCACTGTTGTTTTGCCTTTTCTAGAATGCCATATAAATGGAGTCTTACATTATATAGTTGTGGCTGGCTGAATAATGCCTCCCCTGCCAAGAGCTTCCACCCTAATCTCCAGACCCCGTGAATCTTACCTTTTATGGCAAAAGGGATTTTGTAGGTGTGATTAAGGATTTTGAGATGAGGACACTATCATGGATTTACCTAGGTGGGCCCTAAATATAATTACAAGTGTCCTCATAAA